CTGCCAGACAAATCTAAAATACTCCTAATTAAATTATATATCTTAAAAAAAAATTAAATAATTTATTTTTATTACTAGAAAATTAATAAATATAAATAAAAATATTAAAAAAATATTCTTATTAATAAATTTTTGAGAGATTTTATCAAAAAAAAATATTCTCTTAATATATACAAAAGGAATTACAATGAAAAAATTATAACAAAATAAAAAAAATCATGTTGTGTCATTTTTACCAATAAAATTATTGATAAAATTTATTCTGTCAATAAAATCATTAATAAACTGTGAGTATTGTTTATCATGTCAATTATAAAGGGAATTATCGATAGAAAATTCTATCAATATTTTCTAGAGAGCTTTAAAACTATTTACTTTTCAATTATACTATTAATTTTTATTTTTTATAAATAAAATTATTGACGGATTGAAAAGTCATCAGTATTATTTAATGGTTTTAAAAAAAATTAATTAATTTAAAATTTTTATTTAAATATTATAAACAGAATCATCGACAGGTTGAAAAATCATCAACGATTGTTGGTAGTTTCTGAAAACTTGTTATGAAATTAAAAATTTAAATTAAATATTACAAACAAAATTATAGACAGAATAATTAAAAATATTAATATTTAATTATCCATAAATAAAATTGTTGCTGACATGCTCTAATAAAAAGCCTGAATCCCTTTATTTCACATGAGACATGTCCATTTTTTATTTTTTTCTTCTTTTTTCTATATATATAAAACATTAATATCTATTTTTTTTCTTTTCTTTCCTCATCCTTTTCTTTTCTTTTCCATGCTACAGTGTGCCTTCTTTTTCCTTTTTTTTTTATTCTTTTAGTTTTTTTTAATTAATATGCTTTATGAAATTTTTTCTCTTCTTAGCTTCACTTGCAACTACATTAATGTAATATTTTTTTTTCACTATATTTGATTTTTATTTATTTTATTTTTTTCTTAAATATTTGTATAAATGTTGTTGTGAGATTTTTTTAAATTTGTTTTAGCAATTACAACATCATTTTTTTCATATAATGTTTTTTAGTTGAATTTTTTTTTATTTATTCATTGCAAATTTATTTAAGCTGATTTTCTTCTTCTTCTTTTTTTCATAGCATTGAAATTATATATTATAGAGCGTTGATTTATGTTAATTTAATTATTTTATAATTTTATAAAATAAATTTTTAAAATGTTTTTAAATAATTACTGATGAAATTACTGATGATATTTTTTGAGTGATATATCTACAAAATGAAGCAAGTAATTTTTTTTACTCATCTATTCTATCAATAAATTCATCAATAATAAAAAAAAATTATTTCGTGTTGATTTACCAATAAACAAAAAATAACTAATAAAATTATTTTGTCAATAACTTTGTTAATAAATCAATTATTAATAAAATATGTGTCTTATGCTAATATAATATTATAATGTTTCATGTTTAAAAAAATAATTTTTTTATTATAATTTTTTTTTTTATAAATTTTTAATATATTAATATCAAAAATATATTTTTTAATATATTTATATATAAAAATATATTTTTACCCGCTAGAAGTTGTCTCTTTATTGATGGTTTCAGTCAAACACTGAAACGTGGAGAGATATAGCTAGGAAGTTCCCCTGGCATAACTGCCTTGCAAGGGACTGTCCACTTTTCTCTGGCGTACACATGGCATCCTTGTGTCTATTTAAAAGCTAGGCCCTCAGAGTGTGTCGGCTGCTGGCTGAGGTCATTTGGAAAAAATGTTTTAATATTGTTTTACTAGGAAGAAGAGCCGGTATGGTGAAGTACACATGTCCAATCTATTTTTTATTTTTTACAAAGTGGTTTCAATGAAATTATTTTTTTTAATTTTTTTTTATTAAAAGAATTGATTAATAAAAAATATTTTTTATTTAAAAAATTTAATTTAATTTTCAAAAAATATTTTTTTATAAAATTCAGAGGGAAAATATTTTATAAAAATTATAAAAAATTTAAAAATATTATATTATTTACTGATTATATGAAATTTAATTTTTAAATTTTTAATTATTATATATATTTTATTTTGAATATTTATTTTTTAATTTCATCTTTTAAAATTTAATTTTTATATTAATTTTTGTCTTTATTTTTATAATTATTATTTATTTTTTCTTGTTATATTTATTAAAAACATTTATCTATCAAATTTGATTCTTATTTTTTTATTATTACTTGTTTTATTTAAAATAATTTATGAAATATTGATTATTATTATTTAAATTTATTCACCTTTTATTTTTTTATTGTTTAGATTTAATCTTTATTATTTTAATTATTATTTATTTTATTTGAGGTAATTTATGAAGTTATTTTTTTTTATTTCCATTCAACTTTTTAATTTGTAATATTTATTTCTCGTTATTTTAATAAACTTAAGAAAAATAAAATATTAATAATTTACTTTTCAACTTATTTTTCATGACATAATTAAATACTGAAAAATATTTTTTAATTTATTTTTCATTACACTATCTAACATTAAAAAATAATTCATTTTATCAAAATTTATATTTTTTAGAATTCACATCGTAAGAAAAATTATTTTCCAGCAAAAGGCCTGGAGGTTTTACAAAAATTTAGTTAGTTTTATTTTTAATTTGACGAAGACAGATGTTCTTATACATAGTAATTTTTTTCTGGAATATTTCCAAAGAGCAAATATAGTGTTTACAAGGAAGGTTGCTGTGATTCCCTTGCACGGAGTAGTACGTGTTTAATAATTTAAAGTATGATAAGATACAAAAAAATATTTATTATTTTTTTAATTCTAATATAATTATATTTATTGTTTAATTTCATGATATCAAGTATAATTTTTAATTTAATTACTGGATTAGATTGAAGGTTTATTATGATTTTTTAGATATATTATTCTACATTAAATTAAAATTTCATATCAATTGAAGTATAAGAAATTTTTACAATATAAATCAATTGTATTTTGTCTTATACACTTTTTATTTTAAGAAAAAAAATTTATATTCAATAACTTATTTTTAAGAGTTTTTTAGTTATACAATAATTTTAATAGACACAGTATAATTTTCATATATGGTAAAAATTTCTTTAATGTTTTAAAATCATTTTTTATAATAATTTTTTTATTTATTCTAATTATACAAGGAAATAAGAATGGATGATATTTAATGATAGAATATTTTGTGGGTTTCCACCTTCTCGAAGGAAAATAAGAGGCAACAACTATTATAAATATTTTTATACTTATCTAGGAAAGTTAAAGTTGGTTTTGGACTGGTTTTTTTTACTGCATCGTTTTATTTTAAAAATCATAATTTTTTATCCAACTATTGAATCGGGTTGAGATCTTACTTGATGTTTCTAGAATTTTTTTTTAAAGAACTAATGAGTTAAAATTTTAGATCAATCAAGTATTAAAAAGACCTTAAAATAAAGTCTAGAAGCTACTATACAAATAACATGAATGGTGGGTCTGTAGTTTATTTGAAATGTTCATTCCAGTTTCTCATTTTTTTAAGCTATTAGATAACTAATTCCTATAATTTCTAAATATTATATTTTGAAATCATACTTCATTTTTTTTCTTTTTTATTTTTTTTGCGGTGAAAGAGAGAGTGGTGTTGTCATAACATGGCTTGGAGAGAAAAAGTGATTGCTGACAATAATTTCAACTATTAAAATAGTTGATTTATCGTGTCAAAGGATTTCATATGACAAAAATAATTAAGATTATATGTGCTTTAAAAATACTTTAAAAAATACTTTAAAAAAACATATTTAAGCCCCAAAAAATTTTTAATTTTAAGTTGATTATGAGTTTTACAATGTCTTTTTGCATTTTTTAAGACATGAATTGGTTAGATAAGATTGAAACGATGTTTTATAAATGTTTTGGGTAAAACATAGATTGAAAATAGATTCTTAGGCTGAAAAGATAAGAGTCTTATTTTTTTCGGTCATCATAAGCAATTATAAACAATGCATCGTTTATTTTTTTGGCAAGAAATATGACAGACGATATTAATTCTAGAAAAAATTAAAAGCTCATGTGGGGCTCTTTTTTTATAGGTCAAACACTTGGCTAACAACACCTCACCTTAATTTTTTTATTTTTTTTTAAAATTACTACTTTTTATATGTATTTTTAAAAATAAATTTTACATTTATGTTTTGATTTATATTTGTGAATTTTTTGGATTATCTAGTCCTTTTGAAATAGTAATTATTTTTTATTATATTGAGTTTATTTAGATTTTTTATGAGGTTAGTATGATTTATCTATATTTTTTATATAAATTAATTTTTTTAAAAATAAAACATTAATTTTTATAGTATTTTTATTATAAATAGCATCGCATAATTTTTTTCTTTATTTTTTTAAATAAATTTTATATATGTTCTGATTTGTGTTACAGTTTGATTTTCGCCCTCTATCTATTTTTCAATTTCACTTGCTATTATTAATAATATTTTTATTTATATAAATAATTACCAATTTATTCAATTAGATACAAATATGATTTTGTTTTAATTTATACTTTATTTATTTTTTATAAAATAACCTGTATAAATTTCGGACCCGCGGGTCAAATAGTGCAATCGATGTACGTTGCAATCACTCATCTCTAATACCATGGAACCTGCAGCACCGAACACTCGCCGATATGCAACCTCTCCTTGGTTTAAATCATCTGCATTTTCTTCAGTCATGCATAGAAAAACTCTTTAGATGTTATCATTAAACATTTAATATTTTATGGGAACTTTGAGCATCGTGGGTGTTTGGTCTAGTGGTATGATTCTCGCTTCGGGTGCGAGAGGTCGCGAGTTCGATTCTCGCAACACCCCTCTATGGTATATCCTGCTCTTTTTTGTTATCACTCCTTTAACTGGACCATCATGGGCCTTTGTGGCCCACAGACAGAACCCAATCTTGGGCTTCAAATTTTTAGGGTTTTACAAAAGGAGGCAAACAAATGCAGTGTCCCTTCAATCGAGCGCTCGTTCTCCTGCGACAAACACATAAAAAAAAAAAAAAACCCAGTCCATCAAGGTCTTCGTTTCAGTCATGAGCAGATCGGGGCAGCCTCCAGATCTCAAGAAGTAAGCATTTTTTTTCCTTCTTTATAGTCGCTGGTTGGTTAATTTCGTTTTGAGCTGTATCTCTCTCTCTCTCTCTCTCTAATTGTTCTTTGTTTTCTTTTTACAGGTACATGGATAAGAAGCTTCAAAGTAAGCTCTCCTCAACTCCCTTTTATTTTCTCTGTTTTTTATTCACAGTTTGTGTATGCTGGTAAATCATAGAAGTATCAGATGGAGAATTTTAGGTTTGATAGTATGTGTAAATTCTTTATCTATGTATAATTTTCTTAGTGGTTTTCTGTTGGAAAAATATATCTGTTATGCAACATAAAAGAGCGTTGCTTCTTTTCTTTTTTTAGAAAATGTTTGTGTGAACTTGTTGTTGGTGGATTCAGTTGATAACAACCGAGAAATTAGTTTTATCTTGAATTGATGTTTCATTGTTTAATGCGGTAAGTAATTGATAAGCTTGTTAGAGACAAAGAAGTTGGTTTGTAGCTGTATTTGCTGTGTTTAATTTTTGTACTTTGTTATAAATATTTGTCAGCTACTTATTTTAATTTAGAATCTATAAGAACAGCTCGGGCTTGAAATCAGCTCCCCAGACATGCAGAAATAATTTTTTAAGTTACTTTTTGGCTGGTCTTTGGAAGTCTAGAGGGTTTAGAAATTTGGTTAAACTCTTGAATTGGTTTAAGAACAGGAAATCAGCTTATGAGAGCAGGTTTATATGTTCTACTAGTACTAAATTGATGAATGTACGTGCTGGAGTTTTTGAAGGAAAGATTTATGATGTTTGGTGTGGATACTGTATCTGGACTTCCAGGGTAGAACAGTAGAGCTTTTGTTGTGAATTTCCATCTTTAATTGGTTTATTTCCGACTGGTTTTCTGGCCCTTTAAGTTACCTATTAACGCTCTATTTGTCTGTGTTTTATGTTATCATGATATTTGAAGAAGTTGATTTTTTCTTTTTTCAAATGCAGTCAAGCTGAATGCAAATAGGATGGTGGTCGGAACACTCCGTGGGTTTGACCAGTTCATGAATTTGGTGGTTGACAACACTGTGGAGGTGAATGGTGATGAGAAAACTGACATAGGCATGGTGGTGAGTCACCGTACACCATTTTTCTTTTCCAGTTTATTTAAATCGTTACTTAAGAAATTTTCTCCTAATATTGGCCCATGTTTTTTTAATTTAGTTTCACTTTCTTGCTACAGGTGATCAGAGGCAATAGTGTTGTCACTGTTGAAGCGTTGGAACCTGTGACCAGAACGCAGTGATGAATGGTTTTGTATTTGTAGCGTACTAGGATGGCGTTTAACTCTTATGCTTTTTTACTCAGATGTGAACACTTGTATGAGATGAAGAAGTTTAATATTTTGTGTTGCAATGAAGGTCATATGAATCCTTTATTTGACCAGTGATCTTGCTGTACCCCCCTCCATTGGAAACATACTTTTATTTCAGCTCTAGATTTTAAGCTAGCGGGCTCAGACTGTTATTGATTTGAATTTTAATATTATCGACATGCCTTGGCCTGATTTTTTCTCGGGGGTTAATCGCCAGTTGATATACTTGGGATAAAGACAGTTAACCCGGTCAGTGTTTATCTGTGGCTAGACCCGTTTTGGGCATTCAGACTCCTTTTGCTGCTGTCTTGCTCATCAAATACCTTGAGTGCCCAGGCAAATCATTCTTAGCAGACCATCACTTGTGTCTTTCTAATTTGTTTGGTTGGATTGGCAGGTGATATTCTTACTCTCATTGCTCTGCGATGGATCTTTTTATTTATTTTTATTTTTCTATCATACATGTTCCGCCATTTTTGAATCTGCCAGTGCAGAAGTCTGGACAGCTGTGAACCTCGTGCTAGCTGGTGAAGGGAAGCACTATATCATGTCTACGAGTCTGGTTGCCTGTCATTCCTTGATTGCTACCACATTAGCAAATGTTGGCCATTGCTATCACGGACTGCATGAATCTTGAAAATTCTAGTAATTCCCAGATTGGCATAAAACTTGAGTTCTGTAATGTCAGCACTTGGTATTCCTTCTCTTAAAAAGTGAACTTGAAATTTCCAGTTTGGCTTGAGTGAGAAGCAATCAAAGGGGTGGATTATTGATGCAGGTTGCTTCATATTTATAAGCTCATCCATCCTGGGGCTCCAATCCCTTTCCAATTTCTTGGTGTGGTTTGCAAGTATGAAGGCTTCAAGGACTTTCGATTTTAAATTCTGCTTTCTAATATTTCCAAGAGATTGTAATCAGTAGTGGTCCTTCTTCTCATTCTCGAGGGGGTTTTGTTCCCTTGCAGTGGAATAATGTAGTGATGAAGCCATCTGAGATCACTGAACACAAACCAAAGTCTTGCACATTCTCGTTTCTCTAAGCGGTTTCTGACATGACAAAACCGATTTTCAAAGTTCTTTTTCGGATGGGGTTTCGCCCACCAGGAAAAGTGTTCTCACAGAATCTCTGTGTCTCGGGTTAGCTGACAATCAGTTGCAAGCTAAACTGAGTTTGAATTTTGAAACAGTGACTTTATGCGGACGAGTCACGAGCATCCCAACGGCATAATCCTCGGAGAGTTTCTTTCTTTGTATAGTATATATCTTCCCCAGCTAGTCTGTGCTTTTGCTTTACTTTTCCTTGCAGTTCTGGGCTGTCCTATAGCCCCCACAAAACGCTTGGTGAATCTTTCTTTGCTTAACCGTACATGTGCCGTTTGTTGATAACACATCCAACAATACACATACTGCTTTATGAATCAGTACAAAGTGCTGCTTTGTAACATTCCATATTTGGTATCGATAATCACACAGCTTTTGCTGCACACAGCTCATCGAACATCCCAGAATGGAATTTTCGAGTTCCGTTAGACAACTATCTAGTTGAAAGTAGTTTTGGGTGGAAACATGAAAATTAAGATTAAGGTTTTGATGGAATGTTTTGAAAAGTAGTATACTTTGTCAAAAGTTTTGGTTAAATAGCATACACTAAAAAAATATTTGAAAAATAACTCAGTTTTAACAAAAATATGATTAGTAATAATGATTTCAACAAAGATGCAATTGGGAACAATAACTTCAACCAAAATGTCAAACCCCAAATACAAAAATTAAGTTAGCTTGCGGGTTTTTTTTGGTCAATGCTGATATTTCCAATCACGTCTTTGTTAAAATCATTATTACCAATCATGTTTTTGCTAAAAGTTGTGTTGTTTTTCAAATACTTTTGTGGCTTATGCTATTTTGCCATAACTCTTGGCTAAGTGTGCAAGAAAGGAAAAATACCCGATTTTGATGCCACAATTATTTTTGCTTAAGCAATACTTCCACTCCCCTCCCTTTTCTTTTAAATAGTGTTTTGTTTGGTTATTATCCCAATATAGAAGAGACAACGGCAATAAAAACAAAAATATATTTGTTTGAAATAACAAAGATATATAATTATATATAAAATACCCATAAAATAATTTGAGAGTAAATTTATATACTTTCAAAATAAGAGATGCAAAAACAAAAAAAAAAGTTTCCACAAATAATTTTTAGTATTCCTAAAATATCATTATAAAAAAAATTTAATTTAAAAAGTGTTCAACTAAGATATTTGATAATAAAAATTATTATTATCATAACTTTAAAACCCAACTTAAAAGTTGATTTGGGGCAATGGTCAAGTCATGGGTTGAGACGGTCAATCTAGGTTGACTCGAGTTAATATAAGAATAAAGTGGTTATTATCATAATTTGAAAATTTAACTTAGGGATCAACTCAGGTCAATGAACAATGTTCTGGTTGACCATTAACCTAGGTTAATGTAAAGATAAAATATCTTTATTATAATTTTAAAATTTGTCTCGGTGATCGACTAAAGGCAATACTCAAGTCACGAGTTGAAAGGGTCAACTTGGATCAATGTAAAAATAAAAATAATTATTATCATAATTTTAAAACCTAACTTGGGGGTTGACTCAGGGCAAGTTGAAATGATGATGATTTTAATAGTTTTAAAATCATTATCATAGTTTTAAAATTTAATTTAAGGGTTGTCAAAGACAAATCCTAGGTCATGAGTTGAAAAAGTCAACTTAGGTCAATGTAAGAATAAAAATAGTTATTATTGTAGTTTTAAAACCCAACTCAGAGTCATACAATCCAATCATCAAAGGATCCATTGGAGGTTCCAGTTGGAATAGTTACTAAGTTTAGGGCTAATAAATTCAAAGAAGCTTGCAATGGACTTCTTCAAGATATATGGGATAAGGTGGATTTCAAGAGGATTTGTAATAATTAAGAGCAAGCCTTGATTAATCTGATTCATGTTCAAGAGGGATTTGTTGGTGGAACTAAGACCATTACACAAGCGTTGGAAGAAGAAGACTATATTCGAACAGTTTGACCTTTTGTTACTCTTTTGGTCATAACTGGAGTTACAGATCGAATTTTGATGTGCTTTTAGTTGGGATGAAAACTAGACTTCCATACCTTTCCAACGATATATGACATGCCTTCTAATTCATTAAGATGAGAGAGAACTATCCGTTTTTAGTTGAGCTTTGCTGTTGTTAGACAGAAAGCGAAAACAATGAGCTTGTCTTATTTAATTAGTTGGATTATCAAACTTTATTTATTTTAAGAGGAGATATTTTGTTTGGGTTTTAAACTTGTTTATTTTGTTTATTTTAATAAATTTGGGCTAGTTTTAGCTTTGGTAGATTATTATTTAAATTGGGTTTATGTGAGACCTATTAGAAAAATTAGGGTTTTGACTTGGAGTTTAAATACTTTTTAAGAATAATTTCAGATCAAACTTTTAATGATAATTTCAGCATTGTAGTCGACTTTTTGTTTGCTTGATCTTGGTTCTTGATTGAACTTTCAACTTTTTAAAGAATTGACCATTCTTTATTGTGAATTTATATTTTCTTTGCTCGTCTTCAGGTGTAGGCGTTGTGTGATTGATTAGTACTTAAAAGTGCATAGTGTAGGCGTTGTGTGATCGAGTTGATTTATAGTCTTGCTGCCTTGAAACAAGTCTTTCATTGTGATAAGAGTTGATTTATAGTCTTGTTGCCTTGAAACAAGTCTTTCATTGTGATAAGCTCATTCAAATATCAACAAACTTGGATTAGATTGATTTTGAGGTCACGAATTCCATTAAATTTCGCTAGGGTTCGCATCATGGAGATTGACTTGGGGCAAAACCCATTTCATTGTTAGGAAGGTCAACCTAGGTTGAATCGATTATATGTAAGAACAAAATTAATTATAATAATAGTTTTAAAACCTGACTCGAGGATCGATCTAAGGTATGACTCGATTCACGAGTTAGAAGGGTCAACCTAGATTGACCCGAGTCACAATAAGAAAAACAATAATTATTATCATAGTTTTAAAATCTGACTCAGGATTCAACTCGAGATAGGACCTGGGTTACTGGAAAAAAGAGTCAACTTGGTTCAATGTAAGAATAAAAATGGTTATTATAATAATTTTAAGACTCAACTAGGGGGTCGACTTGGGACAAGACCTGATTCACAAATCAAAAGGGTCAATACAAGAATAAAAATGATTATTATCATAGTTTTAAGACTTGACTAGGGGGTCAACCTAGAAAAAGACTCGATTCACACATCAAAAGGGTCAACATAAAAATAAAAATGATTATTATCATAGTTTTAAAGCCCTACTCGAGAGGCGATCTGGGGCAAGACCGAGTTAACAGGCTAAAGGGTCAATCAAGGTTAACCTAAATCAATATAAGAATAAAAATGATTATTATCATAGTTTTTAAACCTGACTTGAGGGTCAATGAGGGCAAAGTCTGGGTTACGGGTCAATATAGTCAACTTGAATTGACCTGATCAACATAAGAATAAAAGTGATAATTATCATAATTTTAAAACCTAACTCGTGAGTTGACTTAAGGCAAGATCTGAGTTATGAGTTAGGAGGGTCAAATTGGATCGTAGGTTGGGCCAATCTTTTATCTATTTTTTCTTAATCCCGGATCGGTTCAAGTCCTGAGTCGATCTGCCAAACTAGTCTGGGTTTTATAATTAAGGTTATTAAAATATTATTAATTTCAACATTCAATATGAATTAAAGTAAAAAAAAAAAACTAATTATTTTTTAAAATATATAAGTTTTTATTGTAATACATGTTAAGACTAAATCAAACTTTTTTTATATTTTACTTTATCTTATCCATAATAACCAAACAAAATATAAAAATAATCATTTTATCTCATTCATAACTACCAAATATAATTAATTTTTTGTCTTTTTTTTATATCCTATCTCTATTGTCTCCCTTGTTATGTCTTTTATGGATCACCTTGGTGATTCCTTTTTATTATTTCCACTCGTCATGATAAGTTTTTATACTTTCTTGCGAAAAGGACATGGAAGTAGAATGGAGGAGTCCTAATAATGGCAAGTTAGTGCTTCGTGCACCTATATTATTGAATTGTTAATTACTTTCATAATTGCACAGACTCTTCGTAGACTTGTTTAAATACTTTTCTTTTTTCTGTT